AAGAATATAGAAGCCTTACACTCTGCAAAGTTTGAAGATAAAAAAACTGAACAATTTACTATCTATGCTAAATTAGGAAATGGTGCTTATCAACTTTGCAATAACAAGAGACAAATTTTACAAAAATACTATAATAGTGATCATTTAGAATGATATCATGAATGACGAAACTAGAAACTACAAGTTGTTATTAAAACTGTGCTCTATGAAATCTAACATTTTATTACTATTACTTATTTACTTATTATTTTATTACTTATTATTTCATTATTATTTTATTAATTATAAAAACTTAGTACAAAAAATTTTTTTTAAAAAAAAAAATTTGATTATATTTAATATAGAATTTTATTATTATTATTATTATTACTATTTACAAAATATTACAAATATCTTTGGCCCTCTCTTTCTCTTAACCTTCTTTGCAATTTCTGAATCTTATCTTCTAAATTTGCAACCCAAACTCGTAGCAAATTTCTTTCTGTAACTACCTGTTTGTAGATAGTACTTCATTGTTATTCTTGTTGGATCATCTCAAAATTTAGTGAAGCACTTTCACTTACTTCAGCCTCCAAATTTGCAACTTGATTTTGAAGGAAGAACAAATAACTAGAAATTGCTTAACTTTTGCTTTGGTGAGGCATCTATAAAGCAAAAAGTTAGAATATATATATTCTAAATAGTATACTTAAAATAATAAATGAAAATATCAAAAACAGTTAAGCATTGGCCACTATTTAACTGTAAGAAAAGAAAAGAGAATAACAAAAGAAAAATTGTCTACTAAGGCCAAAACAGATTATCTGTTTAGCTCACCTAAATAGATGATCAGTCTTATTCTAAAGTGTCTTAATATTAGGCAAGACAAGCTCACAGCCCGAAAAGTATACACACCTTAGTGAAAAACAACAGATAAAAAGACAAGTTTATTAACAAGAAAAGTTTTTCAACAAGGAAACTAGTAGAAAAAAAAAGAAGATATGAAATTTTGTAGACCAAAACATAGGAAAAATTAGATGGAATAAATAACAAAAATAGATACAACAGAAAATTAGAATTTTATTGATAGACAAAGAACAATCACAATAGAAACAATGTAATTACTAAATTTAGAAATAGATGAACCAATTAGAATAAAGTTACTAATTTTAGACAAATTAGTAAATAAGGTTCGGAGACCTCACTTTTTAAAGGGAGGAAGATACAAAGAACACTATAATTACAAAAATAGAATAGAATAGACATGGGGTAATACAAATTTTGCCAAATTTTAGAATAAAGAATTGTTTAATATGTATTGTAAACAATATAGCCATAAATAAAATACAAAGAAAAGCATATGTTAAACAAATTTAGTCACTACTAAATGTGAAACAGCATGGGTTAAATGAAATTAATAAGAGACAGTATAGGTTAAATGAATTACAAATTACTGTGCCAAAGATTGCTTGGCATAAAAGTACGAAAAGAATTTTAACAGATATAAAAAGACCAAAGAAATGCCTTCCTTTAACATTAATTTTCTCTATATTTTTGAACTAAATCTCTAATAATCTTAACAACAATGAACCTATTACAGAACCTACCAACATGAGTTACCCTACAAATCTACTACAAAGCCCTTGAGTTACAGGACCTCTGTAAACAGGTTCAACATCCAGATACTATTATATATGAAGCTAATAATACTACTCTTATCCTTAATATGAAAACCTCATATATATTGCCAACAACCTATAATGATAATCTGTTGACCAAAATAAAAATGAATTTACTAAACACAATACCAAACCAGATTTTTCCAGTTACCGTACCAATGACTATCAATATGTCATAGAAAAATTGTTATATCAAAATTACTAAGGAATACTGATTGATTGTATGCCCATCTAACTATAATCAGATATATTGCTTAGCTTACAGCTATTATCTAGGAGCCCTATTATTAGAAAAACCAGATCATAACAAGTCTATAAAGGCAAGTAGAATTAAGACCTGGACTAGAATCTATGGATTGTTCAAAACTATTGGCTATGAACAAATATATTGAACAAAGAAACTGATTCTAAAACATATTAGTGATATAAGTGAAGCCAAGTTTAATCAATTAGTTGACTTTTGTAAATGATACAAAAGTCATGAAAATTTTGTGAAACAAAATTCTTAAATAGAGGAAAATGTTACAAAGTATATTTTAGTATACTATATTATATAGTAGTATTAGTAATTATATATTTATTTATTATTGTATTTTATATTATATTTATTATTAGTCATTAGTTAGTTGATAATTATATTATATAGTAGATAGATAAAAGGATCTTAATTAGCTATTAGAAATATGGTACAGTCATATAATACTGAGTAACATCTGTGATGTTACTATTATCTTACAAATTCTAAGTACTATTATACAAGTTTTATATATCCTAGTACCAAATTATTGTGCCAAGTACCATAGCACAAAAATCCCAAGTATCTCCAACATGAACCTCAAGTGTTCTCACATGAACCCTAAGTATTTCTGCACAAATCCCAAGTGCCTTTGCACGGATTCAAGTACCTAAACACAAACCTCAAGTGTTTCAAGTACAAATAACAAATGATATAAACAATATCTTCAGTTGTCTCTGTATAGTCTCTATTACCCTAAGCACAATATCATCTAATATTGTTCAAACTCTCATTACTTTAACTACAGTATCAAGTAATGTTGCTCGAATCTCTACTATCCTTGCTAGGTAAAAAAATATATAAAGAGTAATTTTTATTCTTTTCTGTTAATTTTAAGTTCCTATATTTTAACCTAGACCCTTTTACCTTTACCTCTAATTCGTAATTGTGATATTTCCTCTTTAGGGTAATTCTTATAGGCAAGATTGTCACTGTGTGTTTATTTAATAAAAGTTAATCTATATACTGTTACTATCTTGAATCGTTTGTCTGCTGCTGTATAGTAAAATGAACTACTACACCTTCACCCTATATATATTTGCAATAGTCAATCACTGTACCAGGTAACTTTGTTACTTGGTTGTATTGTACCAAGAAGGCTACAACTCTGTAACAATATACTCTATTCATAAAAACAGTTTTTATACTTGTATATTGTTATTATAAATTAAATAAATAAATTTATTTTTCTAAAATACAACTTATTTTACTTTAAAATTAAATTATTACAAAAAAAAAATAATATACAAGTTATATTTAGAAGGAAGTTAATAGAAAAGGGACAAATCATTTTTAGTGAAAATTTTTTAATTTTTTAAATTTAAATAACTCAACAACTATTTAATTAAATCTGCTAAAAAATTTTTTATTTTAATTTTAAAATTATATAGAATTAAAATAAAAAAAAATTATCAAATTTAATAAAATAGTTGTTGAGATATTTAAGCTTAAAGTCAAGAAAACTTTTACTTAGAAAAAATTTGTTCTTTTTCTATTGACTTCCCCCTATTTGTTGATTGGCTATATAGTTCAATGATTATTAATTTGTTAATATTATGTGCTAATGATATAGTTTCTGATTGATTGACTGTCACATAAAAAATCCTATGCTTTTACAAAAAATACAAGAGTCTTTCTGCTAGAAATTATATATTTACTAGACAGGAACCCAAAAAAATATCAATATAACATAAGCAAATATATATATTAATATGGTCAAAAATATCGATTTATATCGATTTACCTATCTGACCAATTAAAATGCAAGTCATAATAACGTGATCAAGCTTTTTTTTTCTTTTTTATTTATTGATCTTATGTTTTTAGAATAGCTTTAACAAAACTGCTTCTAAGAATCCTGATTATAATACATAATCGTAAGAGCATGAAACGATTCTTTACTAAGGAAATTCTTGCGCACGAGTATGTGCAGTAGTTTAATTTATAACACCTCTGAAGCAATATGAGGTAAGATACCAAAAACCTTGAAACGTGAAATACTGGTTAACATAACCAAGATCAGCAAAATAATGCTGAATAACTTTTGTTCACTTCTGAATTTAAATTAAAATAAAAAGGCCGTTAGCCTTTTATATTAGTTATTAAATTTTGGCCAGTGTTATTTATAATTCTGGTCATTGGTAATGTGTAATGTTACACGGCAGCAAAAATTGTAAAATTATCGATTTACCAATGATTTGACTCTTTTATATTGATCTAAATAGACTAATATTTTTCCGGCTCCCTGATACTAGGGTAAACTTAGTAATTTTATATTTTTATTATCAGTTTTTACGAAAAATTTTATCCGGAAGATTAACAAAAATACATACTCACATGATAATAAAAACCTACTTTGTTTCAATGGTCTAGACAATACTTTGGTAATTTACCGGTAACTTAACAGAAAATTTTACAAATTATAATAATTTTACCACACAATTGGTAAAATTGGTAAAATTTGATGAATTGAATTCATTTGCATCTTTAGTTCCATATTATTTTAAAATAAGAAAAATGAGTTTGGGTAATACAAATGTTCAGTTATTTTTATTGACTGTATTAAGTTGTTACAAATAAGCATATCGATATAACATGTTACAATTAGATTCGTCCTGAATATAAAATCTTGTGTAACATTTGAATTTCTATATAGGTAAAAATAAACAATTATATAAAATGTATGTGTAGATGTAAACAAATAAACAAGTTCGATCAATTAACACCAACGTTTATTTCTTTAGATTAAAGAATATGAACAAAATTAATGAAGATTTTTTTAAAGCAAGTTTCAATTTCTGTTTCTAAAAAACAAAAACAAAAATCATTTATCATTATTATATAATATGCATGAAATATACCTTAAACTTATACCCTTTCATTTATTTCATAAGAATTTTTTTCTATTAGGAGATTCGGTCGATGAAATTCTTCAAGAAATCATTGAGCGGTCCCTACAAGAAATAACTAGGCCCCCCCTGCAATCCAGTAATGGATTAAATCTAAACCCGCAAAAAATAAAAAGACCCCCTATCAAACCAGAAAATATGGAACCTTCGGCCGCCGCCGCCACACTTGATGAAAATAAATTAAACACACATGATGTGACTCATCGTAACGTGTTTGGATGCGAATTCGTAAGGACTACATCGACCGGTTCACAAAAACGTCATAAATGGACAGATTTAGAGTTGCACTATCTTGAATGTGGAATGGAAGAATTTGGAACTAGTTGGAAAGACATATTGAAAAAATATGGGAAACCTCACGGGCCATTGAGAAATCGATCGGCTGTGAACTTAAAAGATAAAGCAAGGAATGAAAAAGCAAGAAGAATAAGAAATGGAATAACATTGGGCAGTTTTGAACTAGAAAGTTTTTACAATTGATGAATCATTCGTTAGGAAAATAAATAAATGCGCTAGGGTTAATATTTATTTTCTATGCTTTATTGCATTTAAATTTATGATCATTAAATTTGTAATACACTATTAATACTTGCAAAAATACAGAAAAAGATGAATAATATACAAAAAATTTAATACGAGAAAAGCTGTAAAATCCACTTTTTTTTCATTTCTATCTAAAACAAAAACTAAGTGACACATGGCTCGTCTAATAAAGGTCGAAACAAATCAGCAATCGGATCTTCTACCTCCCATATGGGTGTATACCATCCATTATAGTTATCATCAAAATCTTGTAAATAATCGACTAGGTTTTCATCTTTAGTCGCCTCTTGTAAATAAATTTCATCAAAGTCTATTTCAGAAGATTGATCATCATTGTATGCGTTATCATCCACAAATGGAGTTAATTCATGCGAATACGCGATGCATTCTTCAAGAGACATGTTAACTTCAGAGGTGGGAGTTGTTGGTCGAGAGCACATATTTAAATCATCAACCGAGAATAACGTCTGATCAAATAAAGAATCATCTGCAAGTTCGTATGTAGGTGTTGATAAGTTTAAACTTTTAAAAATCCCTGAATATGGTTGTGGATCATCATCTTTGTCAATTTGTGGGTTGTATCGAGAAGGTTCTAATAAAATTGAATCTTGATTCATAGAATTCAATTTATCCTTTATCGGACATGGTTGTTTAGAATCCATTTCATGTGTCTCAGTTGATGTCTGACTCATTGACCAGCCGTCACTTGACATTACAACGGTTTCTTCTTCATTCTCAGTGGAGAGATCATTTGAATCATCTGAAATTTCAGCAGCAATTTTATTGGCATTTTTTGCAATTTTATTGTTCCAGTTAAAATCGGATTTAATGTTAAAGTAAGATTCTTCAGCATTAGCATCAATCGATGGAGTAGAAGCTTTTATGTGATTACAAAAATTAATTAATTACAATAACTCTTAACTAGATTATCAAACTTATTTATGATTTATTAATTAAGAATTTCTTACCGTAATATTGAGTATGTGTATTTTGTGTACGCTCGTGAATAGGACTAGAACCCAATAATGGCAATTCCCAATAATTTGTTTCTTTGAATTGTCTCTCGTCACCTTTTCTTGTATTCCAAATATCAATAGTATCAATTAGCCCTTTTTGTTTCGGGTTCTTTTTTCTCGTTACGGCACCCAGATGAGAGAAAGTTTCTTCTGATTCCTCATCCTCTCCTGAAATGTCAGTTCCTACCGGGTTATGACAACCATAAGAGTTGTTTGATTCATCCAGATCATGAACATCCAAATTTTCATTTGAACAATCTGAATCACGAAAATCGAAAGTTTCATTTGATTCATCCGAATTATGAAAATCGGAAGCTTTAATTGATTCATTTGAATCATAAAAATCGGAAGCTTTATTTGATTCATCTGAATCATAAAAATCTGAAGGATTATTTGATTCATTGGATTCATTGGATTCATTTGATTCATTGGATTCATTTGATTCATTGGATTCATTTGAATCGTGAACATCAGAAGATTCGCTAGATTTTTCATTCTCGTTTAATTTCATGAAATTTTGAAAATAAGATTCCATCATAAAGCGTGATTTGCCACCAGTTTTACATGGGACCAATTTCCCTCTAACCGGACGAGTTGTGCGCTTCTTAACATCAATTTTCTTTGATGTATTATTTTTATTTAATGTTTTGTTCTTATAAGCTGTTTTATTTTTATTCAAAGATAGTTTGCTTCTAGTGTTATATTGCCGTGTTGGTTTGGAAGCATATCTTCGTGTTGGTTTGGAAGCATATCTTCGTGTTGGTTTGGAAGTATATCGTCGCGTTGAATTGGAAGTACGTGAACGCGACGAGCTTCTGGTACGACTTCTAGTACAGCTTCTAGTATGGCTTCTAGTACGACTTCTGGTACTGCTCCTGGTATTGCTTCTGGTACTGCTTCTGGTACGAATAGCAGCAGTCCTATTTGTAATTTGACTAAAATATAAAAGATTATTTTAAAATATTAAATAAATAAGAATTTATAGATTTTTTCAATATAAACAATTCACCTTTGATTATTGGGTTTTCGTGATCTTTTCTTTTTAACATGAACCATACGTGCCGGTCTATTTTTCCACAATGCCATTCCATCATCTGATCGAAGCCATTCAATACAATCTTTCGATCTTCCTATTGAGATAGGGTGAAGATTTTTCTCTTCTCTGAGTTGCTGTGTGCTTGTCAATTTTGTTTTCAAATCATTCATTCTTATATTGTTAACGTAAACACCAGCAAATTTCAGTAATGTTTTGCCAGTAACATCAATAGCCGCATCAGAAATCATATTAGAGATGGAATTATCCAATGCATCTTTATCCACATTGTCGTTATTATTGTCATGCAATTTTTCTGATTCATCCGAACTTACTGAAATACCCTCTGAACTATCGTGAAGATCAACAGGAGTCTGCAGCATTATTTGTGTGCCACGATCTATCCCTGAATCGCTTGAATGTGGCATATCGTTTACCGCCAAGACATCTAAATTATCGCTATTATGGTCATGCGAATTACAATCAATTTCAGTGTTCAAAAGTCTTTTCCTCTTTCTTCTCAAATTATATGTTGATCTTTCGTTATCATCATCCGTAGTATAGTTATTTTCATCCTTAACATCTGACTCTTGATTTAATCTCTTCATTTTATTTTTTTCTACAATATTAAAATTCCTTAAAATTTTTTCGGTATAGCAATTATCAATGTTACCACCATTTCTTTCGCCTTTATTTTGGATGATATCTTCATTATTAACTTTTTCCGAATTAATCGAATCATCGTCTTCTATTTCATTGTCACTTGTATTTGATAATGATGGTATCAATGCAATTAACGCGTCCATTTTTTTTTAGTAGAACCCAAAAAAAGAACCAGTATGAGGATAAAGAGGAAATAAAGTTAAATGGAGAATCAAATAGAGAAAAAAGAATTTTCTTAATCCTAAAAAAAGATATTCCTAAAAAAAGATATCTCTAGAAAAAAAAAGGTTTTTTTTTTCATATCGATATTAAACTGTAGTAGGATTAATCAATATGACGTTACTATGGATCATTGCGCAATGGTTTATAGCTTGTTATTTTTACTAATATTTAGTTTATTTTAGATAGATATTATAGATTATAGATTTTTAATAATCATTAGATATTATTATATATATATCGATATGTTTTTTTTGTTTTTTAATAAATCGTCCTTCACACTTAACATGATTAAATTAGTGATTATCGATAAGAAATGCGTGAATATGTGTTAATGAAATTTGTTAAATATTGAATTATTATTAAGATTCTATAGATATAATACCATTTCCATTGTTGATTTTTATAATACGTAGCAATATTATCACCAATAAAATAGACTTATACGTATAATAATGTATGTTTCTGGCACTTTAGGTGGCTAATTATCAGTGAATTCGGTGATGAAATCGTACAAACTTTTTTTAAGAACAGTCCGCTAAAGAAATTATCGTAATGACTATCCCGATCGTTTGAATTTTCTGTAGTGGTGGTAGCTCATACGTTCTTTAACATGCTGGTCACATGATGCTTTTCGCAGCCGCAGCACGCAAGTATATTACGCAATTCTCTTTCTCTGCAATAAAGTCCTAAAAAAAGTTCAGTATATGATGGGAAGTACGTATGTGTCAACATATTGGGCTGACTGTATGGTTTGTGGAGTATGATTGGTGGTGAAATTATCAATGACATGTATGTACGTATGTACGTACGTACATAGTACGTCAAAAGTAAAAAATAAAGTAACCCCAAATGTATCACTTTTACTTTGGATCTACACGAAATAATAACAATTGCGTCAATGTGGTATCATGAAATTTTAAGGATTAAATATCTATTGGTAAGTCTATTGGCAAATCTATTGGCAAATCCATTGGCAAATCTATCGGCAAATCTATTGGCAAGTGAGATAAATAATGACTACTCGATGACTGCTATTAATTATAATTACATCATATTTCGCTCATAAGAAATTCAATCACTTTTCTCATAAAAAGAGGCAGCTTAAGCTTACCGTTCACTTATAAAATCCATACATCTTCCAAAGTTCGAATATCAAAAAAATAAAATTAATTTTTTTTAAAAAAAATACGATTTATAAATGCTTATTGCGCGTGAAATATTTCTAAGTTTCTTGTTAATATTTTTTGTGACACCTGCCTTTATCGCTGCTACCATGAAGCCATATGGTAAGATTAATAATTCATTTTACGTCTAAAATTGCTAAAATTGCTAAAATTGATATATTAATATATTTAATATCGAATTTTTTTTACATTTTATTAAATTTTAAGATCGAAACGATCCTAGCACTTGGAGTTCGCATGAACTCAAAGAATGGTTATCAGAAAATCGTATACCTTACAAAGGCATTCCAGAAAGGCAAGAGTTGGTCAATTTGGTCAATGTTCATAAGCCTCAAGTATCAAAGACAACTAAAGATTCTATAGAAGATTTTGTAAGTCAATATCTTGGATCTCTTAAAGATGGTGAATAATAATTTGTTTATTGATTTTTTTTTTTTACTGCGGCACAAACCCTAATTTATATTAATATACATATTATCATTGTTGATTACGTCATCATAGGCGACTATGATATGAAAGAACTTGTCCCAGAAAAACTCAACGAATACACTCAGAAAGTCGCTAGTCAATTTGAAAGTCTTAGACAGGCAAATTTTCTTACCGAAGAACAGATTAGTTCTGTTTTTGACCAAATATTCGAACGGTTAAAAAGTACGAAAGCTGCTGCGAATAAAAATTTAGAAAAATCACTTAATCAAATCAAGGATTCATATGCTCTAGCTAAAGAACGTAGAGATGCTATTATTCATGATGCTTCAAGCAGAATTGAAAAAGATGTATCAACCAGTAAGGAAGTATCTCAAAATACTGTGGACTGGTTTAAAGAAGAAATTAATAAATTGAGCGAAACAGGGGCTTTTGCCAAATCACGTCTTGGAACTCAAATCAGCCTGATTTTACATGGTACAATTTTGTTTTATCGTTATTACATTATTTTTTTGTTGATCATATTTAAAAAGGTATTGATTATATTTCATTTCATTTATTTATTAAAGGTATTCAGGAGAGATTGACACAAAATAAAATCGCGACTGCTGATCAAATTAACGCCATTTATGATAAATTAAGTGCGGCTGTTGATGATTCTTATCGGTCTATTAATGGAACTTTAGAACGAATTCGTAGTGAACTATCCAATACAATCGGAAGTACGGCTGAATCTTTTATTGAAGAAGTACGAAATCAGTTATCTACCGTTAATGATTATCGTCTTCTGACTCAGGAGAAAATTCAGGGTATACTTGATAATATTGGTCAAAAATTCCAAGATGGCAAGACTTTAACTGTTGAACAGCTTCAATATATAAAAGATACATTTAATCGAGGTTTCGGTGCCGTCAGACATTACTACAATTCTGCTACTAATCAGGTGAAACAAGATGCTTACGAGACTAAGGAAGCTAGAGAAGAACGTTTAAATAAAATTATTAAAGATATTCAAGACAGAATTCAGGAAATGAGGAAAAAAGGGGACCAAAAACTTTCCCTGCATGAAATAGAACATGATATCACGCTACAACAACTTAATCCTGGACAAGCAAGGATCCTTTCCGATGTTATAAAGGAACAGTTTGGAAATCTACAAAATATTCGTGATATTACTGAAGAAAAGGTCACTTCTTTTTTGACTACTCTAAAAGTCAAGTTTGGTGATGCCGCTGAATATATGGGCGAAACTTATGATACGGTTAAAGAAAGAGTTTATGATGGATATAGTAGTGTGGGTGAACAGTTGAATGAAGGTTATCAGGCTGCTAGGAACAAAGCTTCGGAAGGTTACGACAAAACATCCGAGAAATTAGGTTTTGATAAGATGAAAGAGCAAGTAAAGCATGAAAAAGATGAATTGTAATACAATGTTTCTTTTTTGTAATAACTATATGTTTCTTTAAAATCTTTTATCGATATAGCAGGAATTTTTTTTTTTTTTTTATATATACACTTTATGATTGTTCTTCATTATTGTTGTCATTATAACTATAGTATTGCATTCTAAATTGAATTCTAAAGATGTATTTTACAAATTGTGCAAGTTCGCACCCCCGTTTATAAGAATGCCTTTTAAAGATAAAGTATTCGCGCAATTAAAATATATTATTTATTAATCCTTTACACAGTTTTTCACTTTCATTGCCATGCCTTTATCAGTTATTTTATTTAAAGACCTAAAAGGGAAGGTGAAATGAAAAGGACATAAATAAACGCCAAAATTCTATAATCTTGAATTAACTGCGTATGTATAAGTTCTCTCCGGTTATGGGTTATGGTTACACTTATTTCCTCGATTGAAAAGAATATCTGATATTCGCATGCATGCATGCGTATCGATATCGATATACTGTACAGTACATACTACATATATTACATAAACTTATTGCGCGTTCCTTATAGTGATAAATTTCTTATTTCTTGTTTATTGTCACATGCTCAAAATCAAATTCTGAGACCAAAAAAACTTTATTTCGAAGCTCGATTTTTTTTTTTTTTTGTAAAAAAAAAAAAAAAAAAAATACAAAAAAAAATTATCTTCATTTAAAGGAACTAAGGAAAAAAAAAAACTAACCAACTAAATAAATCTACCAAAACTTTAAAATAACTAGCTAAAGTACGTACAGGGGGACCCACCATACAACGACCGTTGAAATCTTTTTTTTTTTTACAGCATTATATAGCAAAATTGCTTAAATATTCTTTAATATTTACAAAGAACCGATGTTTTTTTTTTTTTTTTTATAGAACAAAAAATCTAACATATCCTTCAGATTTTCCTATGTAGTTAAACTATATACAAGAATTGTAACGCTAGAAAAAAAAAAAAAAAAAGACGGAATGAAAATATACACAAATAGAATTGACGACATCTTGGAGGTTAATTCTGGGGTGAAAAAGGAAAATCTAAACGAAATAATATACAAAAATCTCACTAATATGATAAATAGATCGCTCTATTTTTAAACTAGTGGAGGATGAGAAAAGAAAAGGGGGGAATATAAAAGGGAATAAGGGAAAAAAAACAAACTTTTTTTTTTTTTTTGTTTACATTTTTCTTTTGTATTTTTTTTTTGTATTTTTTTTTTGTAAATGCTTCATTAAAAGAATAAAGGAAAAAAAATAATTTTAAAGCAACAAGAATAATTGTTCTTTTTTTTTTTTTTTGTTTTGTTTTTTTGTTCTATATATTAACTGATTTAAATAACTTGCCAGCTGTTGGATTTGCCAGTGTTGCTTGAGCACATTGAGTCGCATTATCACTTCTTAAATGACGATTCAGTGCATCCAAGCGCGCAAAAGCGCGACCACAATTACCACAAACATGGGGCTTTAATCCCAGATGTAGTTTCTGATGACGCTTAAGATCATGTTGTCGTGCAAAGGCTCGAGGGCAGCCAGGATAATTGCACACGAAAGGTCGTTCATCAGTGTGGGTTCGAAGATGTGACTTCAAGTTGTATTGCCGAGTAAAGGTCTTAGGGCAATGTTCATGAGGACAGGCGAATGGGGCAAGCGATTTTGTAGATTTTCTTTGCTGTTTGGTAGTGGTACCCAAAGTTTCAATATGAAGACGTTGAGTCAACTCATTACCAGGTAAAGATTTGCGGCGATTGTGCTGTTGGAAAGCTACTTCAGATTTCACTGGAGTTGAGGCGATCTTGCGGAGAAAGATAGCGTCATCAAGTGATTTGCGGCGTGCAGCTTCCGAGGCCATGTCGGCACTAAAATAGTCTCGAGCATCCAGACATAATTCACGTTGGAATAAAGATTTCGCATCCATTTCGAATAACGAATCCGTGGTCGAATTGGAAATATTGGAAATCTTTTCTTGTGAAGTTTGAAGAACACCGACAAAAGGTGATTCTGCACCCGTTGGAATAGAAAAGCAATCCAATGGATGGGGAATCATTGGCCCTAAAAAAAAAATAAAAATAAATCAAAAAAAAAAAATTTAAATAAATAAAATTAAAATTAAATTAAATTAAAATCATAATAATAAACGCGTGATTGTATATGTACCTTGTGTAGAATATGGAGAAAAATGACCAATTGGCATTTCTTTAGCCATGGCCATTGCAACATTATAATCATGATCATTATTTAATGAACTTTGATGTAGATTCTCCATTTTAATTGGAAATGAAGGATCTGTAAAATAAGAAGGAGGTGAGTCCGCCGAGAAACTATCAGTGAGATCAAGGTCTAGATCAGAGCAAGTTTCAGGAGATGAAGATTCCGGAGACAAAGTATGAGAGGTCGGTGGCCCTAAAGAAAATAGTGGAGGATAATAGCAGTAATTACCCGCCGTAGATAGAGAGAACGGTTCTATCATTGAAGCGGGCGAACAACTCAAGTCAGGGTTGTAATAAGGTAAGTATTTCCTTTGAATATCTTCTGACGAAGAATAATTTTGTGGCATTGAGCTCGGGCGACCAAGAGCTAATACCGAACAAGCCTCAATTGTTTCTTTTTGTTGTTTCATTATACTAAAGGAATAAAGGAAAAATAGTAAGAGCTTTTTTTTCTTTCAGGTACAAAGAGGCGTTGTCGTGTACTTTGTGAACGGGTGGCGGAGTTCGGATGTGGAAAGGGAAGCCTTGAGAGGCAGAAAGCGAATTTTTGGTTAAGGGGAAAGAATTTTCAAGTATTTGACAAATGACTGCCGTATTTACTTTTCGTTATGCGAGCGAAAGAAAATTGCAGACAAACGGGCATAAAGTGAAAGAACTCGAAAAAAAAAATTCAAAAAATTTGTCAAGGAGGCTAGTATTTTAATAATTTTTTTTTTTTTTTATCAAAAAAAAAACTGGAAATTTTTTTTTATATGGTTTATTTTAAAAAAATTTTTTTTTTTTTTGTACGCACTTTGCAAGTACTGATTTGTTAAACTTGATTATTAGAGATTTTCAGGAAAAATAGAGTTGTGTTGTATTACAAAGAAAAGTTTAAAAAAACTTGCAAGTTTTTATAGAATAAAAACTTGATTTAATCAAAAAAACTAATAAGTTTGATCATAATAATTTTTGGAACCAATAAATAATTAACATTTTAATTTATTAATAGTTAATATAAAAAAAAAATCGTATCTTCACGCGCAAATTCACTCTTCACTCGACGGTTCAATCTTTAAAAGTAATGATGGCAAGAAATATGAATAATTTGAATCCACTCTTTACTTTCCTGGTGCGATCCGTAATGTGTAGAGTGTCCTTTTTTTTCACTGCCGATCCAGTGAGAAAAAAATATTGCGCCCACCAAATGCACAAATCAACAAATTTGCACCGCCATGACATGAAATTTTTTTTTTTAAGAAAAAAAAAAAAAAATCGTAATTATTTTCTGAAACTTGTGATGTATACGAATCCGGTATTAAAACGTACGATAAAAAAAAAAGTAATTTAAGTAAAATCAATCACCTCGAAACGAATATTTTTTTTAAAAAAGAGACGATCTCGTAATTTTTTTTTTTTTTCGTCATGGAATATTTTGTTGGATGCCGGCAAGCACAGCCCCCCCATAATCGGCACCCATAACTTCCGATTAATAATTGCCATAGAAACTATAATAAATGCTATTTTCAGTATTAAATCATTCGAAAATCGACAATTAGAATTTATATGCTAGATATTTGTTTGGTGGGAAGTTAAGGTTTTTTTTTTTTTGCGGATCAATTAAAGGTTAAATTAATTTCATTTATTCTAACCATTAATGAATATTTCATTAAATATAATAAAAATGTCAAATTTGACATATGCACATGTTTTTATTGTCATATCATAATGATTCTGTATCACAAAATGAATTGAATAGAATTTGTTATAATGCAGTTAACACTTTGTGGGAGAAAAAAATTAGAAATTTTCATTAATTTGAAAAAAGATAACGCATTAGTCCGTAAATGCGTGTAAAATGATCATACACAAAAAAATTAATGATATTACAATCAGTCGACCTTAAACGAAAAAAGAATAACAATAGTCTTCATATTGTATCACTTTGATTCTAGTTTTAGTCAAGTACTATGGAAAGTGGTAATCATGAATTCTTATAGTATCAAGATATTTTCTTGTTAATATACCATAATGATCCGGTGAAAAACTCGTATAGTTTTCTATAGCAATAATGATATGATCAGTCTGATGACGCGAATTCATTCTAAGGCATGATTAACACTGCAAGGAGAAAAAAGTTATGTCAGATGGATGAGATCACTTGCGTCAATCACTATCTGCCCAAAAATCGTCAAAGCGATCAATGAAAACTGGAACATTGATATCATCAGATAAACTCGCAGATAGCATATACATTCGTGCATCTCAATGCGTTACAGAAATTTAGAAATTCCTTCTTGGTGTCGAAATAATAATGCAATATCCGAATGATCAAAATAGTATTCTTTTTCATTTACCTTATTTATGTATAGGAATCATACGGGTATTTGAAAATCATATGATGGTTGTTTGTCAACATGTCCCTGATTCGATTCTCGCTCTCAAAGTTTCATCCCTTCTCAAAGTATATACATGATTAGGAAAGATGAATTTGGCCACGAGCCAAATTAATAAAATATGTTGTGCCTCTAACAATTTACCACATTGGTTCGTAAGTTCTTAATTACTATATTCTTAATTACTATAACACGTATGCACATACTTAGTTTGCTATGATTATATGATTTTGTTGATAAGATTTAATTAAATAAAAAAAAAAAAAAGATTATCTGCAAATTTGCAGAATGCATGTATCACGTGAGTATTATCAAAAATATCAGAAATATTAGAAATCGTTTACCTTTTGTATCACAACCAAATAATATATAAATATATATATTTATTTATAGAGTAAGGAGGATCTCGTAGAAGAATGTCTATAACCTTAAAGTATAATAAACAATTACGCTGTTTCTGTACAAGTATTTTTTGTAATCAAATGATAAGATAAACGCGAAAATTAAACAAAACCGTGATGAAAATTTTTTCAAAGATTGGTAAAAATTAGTAAACCATGAACATTTTACGCGAGATGCCGATCTTCAAGATTTCATAAATAAATTCTTGGCAATAGAAATAATATAAACTTTTTTATTTCCAGAAATATCTTTAAAGGATCGCGACTTGGAGTTTACGTAATGATTTTAAATACATACATACATTAAAATGATCTGTGTTCGCAAGCAAAGGGCGAAAATGGTTCTAAAGAAACTTCTTGGGAATAAATACCTAGACCTAGTGTAAGTTGATAAAACCCGGTTGACGTGGAGAGCATTTATAGATAATCAAATGGGCAAGATTGGGCGCAATGGCGGCTGTCCAAACTTCTGATAAAACGGAACACGGAAATGATATAATTTAATATATGTACTTGAAACACGTATTAAATATTCGGCATCCTTTAGTTACAAATTGTTAATTCTTTATAAAAAATAATAAGCCTTTATTTGATGTGATAACAAAGTTGGCGCTGAGCCCATATACCTCTTTACTTTATCCTAGTTTATTTGTCCATAGCTTCTTTAATATCATTTGAATTATTTTTAAATATTAAATATATTAACATTAAATTAAATATGAGGTCCGAATATCAGTCACGTTTCGTTGAGAAAAAAATGTGTATATCGATATTTAAAAGTTAATATAATAATATGAATGGCATATTACATGAATTTTATTTATGTTCAAACCTATAAACATAATATTAACATTGCTGTCCGAAAAATTTTATAAAGAAACAATATCGATATTAAGATATTAACGAAACGGTACTATATACAATGCTATAACACCGCCCATTGATCAACAATATATATCATGAAGATTATCTGATATGAGTCATGCAAACAAGAGTCATGCACTCTTGGTTATGAATAAAAGGCTTATTTGCATATAGCAGGACAAAAAATCAATTCCAAAAATGTTCAGACCAATAAGGTCGTTACTCAATTGTTAAATTTCCTTGGCTTAGTATTTACGCATAACTATAATGTAAAATTGCTAATAAATTAATAACATTTATATATTATATATTGAGAAATAAAAAGAAACCTTATCACATGATCACTAAATTAATACAATATATCGATCTAATTCTGTTAGTATGTATCTTCTTTCACAACTCTAACGGCAAATTTTCATCATAACACCAAGACTTTAAGGTTTTATCATCACTACAACTGACGAATAAATTTTGTTTGGGATTCCAAATTGTATCATAAACTATACCAACATGCCCTCGTAATTTTTGCAATACTTCACCGGTATCCTGATCCCATATGTACACAACCCCGTCCTATCATGGCAAAAGATGGTGAGGTAATGGGTAGCATTTAAAACTAAACTTAACGATAAAAGTTTTCTACCTCTGATCCTCCAACAATTAATGGTTTGTTTGCAAATCCAGCTCTAATAAAATTTTTTGAAGTATTCTGATGTCCTTTAAATCTTGTTATAGGGCGTACCTAAATTTATGTAAAGCTTAGAACGTAAAAAAAATTTCTTTGAATAGAAAATCTGTATCATACCATTCTAACATCCCATAATCTGTTAGAATTATCTTTTGAACAGCTTAATAATAATGTTCCATTAAAGTTCATTGCAACACATGTTACTTCACCTAAATGATATGATATTGTTCGTACACATAATCCTGATATAATATCCCAAAACTTAATTGTATTATCTTTTGACCTGGTGGTATGCAAGAGAGATAGATAATAGAAGTATGTAAGAGAGATAGATATAGAAGTATGCAAGAGAGATAGATAATAGAAACGGTAAAAAAAAATTTTCATTGTTCAAATATTTGAACTACAATATGAATAATATAAACGTTACCCGCTAATTATCAAATTGCCCAAAGGGTTAAATATAGTTTTCGATACGGACAATTGATGTCCCGTAAACATTTTTACCAATTTACCAGTAGGAACATCGTAAAGTCTAACGGTCTTATCATAACCTCCAGTAACAATATGATTCTTCATGAATAAATATAATATTAATATAAACATACAAATTACAAAATTCAATAAAATAATATTGTCTATAATACTTGCATCACCAGGATGAAATTTGACAGTATAGACATCACCAGAATGACCAGTTAATGAGGATACACATGCGCTCGTTTTCATATCCCACAGCTGAGATTATTAGTTAACTGAGATATGTAATCGTGAATAACTTTTAAAACAATTCATAATATAATACTACATTAATCAACCTTTATGGTCCCATCGCCGCTGGCACTTGATATCATTGAGCCACTTTTATTGGATGATACATCCCAAATACGTGATTCGTGACCCGTTAAAATACCTTTTTCCTTTGCACTTTCGATATCCCAAACTCTTAGCGTATTATCACTATAAAGAATTCAAAATGTAAATAAAAATTTATTTCGATTTGAATGGTGTTATTATGTCAATATACCTGGATCCGCTAACAATTTCTCTTCCTTCTTCTCCAATAAATTCTACACATTTCGCATTACCTTTATGTCCAACAAAGGTCGAACGAAGAGCATTAGGTATTATAAAGCTGGAGTAATCGTGTAATAACCTATTAAAAAAATCAAATAATTAATTATAAAATAATAATAATAATAATAATAATAATACAGTCCCATTCCCATATAAGCACCTCCTATATAAGCATATCACCTATATAACCACACTGATTTTTGAACCAACTACTATTAAATATATAAAAATAGTTCTCTATATAAGCACATTTCCTATATAAGAACACTTTTGTGGCCCTATTGTGTATTATATGTGTGTATATGGGTGTGTGACTGTAATAATAAATTATAATAAAATCAACTCACGTATTTACGCTTGGTGCTACACGTGGATGGTATCGAGAACATTCGATTTGGTATTTAACAGCTTGCTGAAGCAACGTAAGAAGTCGATTGGGCGGCATGTATCCGAAACCTTTCTCGGTGAGAAATCATTGAATGTTTCTGCTATATATCCACGAACGCAAAGAGTGGCCAAGAAAAAATTTCAAGATTTCCAGTCTATATTCTATATAAGACGCGTACCATCCTTGTCCATATTGTCAAAATTTAAAATGTCTCGAAATTGTTCTACCAACTTCTCCCTATTAAATATTATGAAATAAATTAAACATTATGAAATATTATAAATTTAAATATTATTAAATTATATTAAACACTATTAATTTACCTAGCAGGACCGATTCCTTCCCAATTCTTGAACGATGGCGCATCATGGACGGATTTCGCTGTTAGCAAATAACACAGATCTTTAAATTCATTAGGAGTTGTTTGAAGATGCTCAAGTGGTTTTAATCTTTTGTTAAGAAATGTGAAAGCCTAATTACAAATTGAGTACGGAATAGAATGAGTAGACATGCATGACAAGCAAACAAAATAATAAATGTATCCATGAAACCTTTTGTATCTCTTGATACTCGATATACTCAAGATATTGCTGTTTATATACTGCATACATAAAACTTTTTTGATTTTTTACCAAAGGTTTAGCACAAATCTTGTCAACCTCAGCCCAATCTCCATCTACGCTAGTGAATAATGCTATCAATTAACTAGTAAAACTACGTTTCTTTGCATGGTTAAGTACAATTATCAAAAAAATAACCTAGTATTGCTTTTTTTAACCGATTGACTTCTACAACATGTTCTTCTTTTTCATGCCAATTCACATTAGCTTCATCATAAATGGTCATTTTTGATGCAGTATAACCTTCATCCGAAAGATATTGGATTATCATTCGAATTATTTCCTATGTATATTAAATAATCTTTATGAGAAAACTGGTATAAATATGAAATCGTAAGTAATCACATTTCACCTCACGAATCTTTCTGTCTTCGGGATTGAACACATCTTCAGTTGGCCTTGTACATCTTGAATGAGATCCTATATAACTATGGATTGTGGCGAGAGCTTCAAGGCTTTTTTGCGTATTTAAATTTTCTCAGATAATATTCAATAAATTTTCATATTATTGGTTAATCATGTTTACCTTTTACGCCTGTTAGTTTCTTCCGAACTACTCTCTTCTATTGAAACTTGTGTCCCAACGTCTGTTGGTTCATGAATGCTGGTTTGTGTTGACTTTTACAAACAAACGCCGAAAACAAGTAATTATTAAAATTAAGGCTTAAAATTCCTTTTGAGTTCTACTCTTTAATATATATAATATTAGACATACAGACATCACGGAGTTGGTGGTCTCTCTTATTTTACCGTTCGTGTTCGACATCGTTTTTGCGATGTGTTTTTCGGTTAACGTTAACTGATTTAGTATTGGCGCTCACATGGTAGTACAGTCAAACATCTATACTAAAGAAATGTCATTCACCGACCCGATTAATTCACCGACAAGTTTTTTTTTTTTATAAATTACACTAATCTTAACTCTAATTCTAACCGACCCTACCAGGATTACTTTGTCGGTGAGCTATGGTCCGGGATAGATTAGCCAACATCCGGGGTCGGAATAGTTCAAGTCACATGTCGAATCATTTGTGGCTTGAGGTTGATCACTCGTTGATAGTATAGTTGACTGGTATTATTGCTTAATGCCGGCCTAGCTCCGGGCCTAAATCTGCTGCTATGGTCCGCGCTGTACAGTAATATCTTAAACAATTAAATGCGAGGAATTAATAAGGAAAAATCTAATGCAGGCCACGTCGGTTCTAAAAGTGGAAATACGATACGAAGTCTATTCTAGTTTAAAAATTCGCACATCAAGGTGAAACTACACGTCTTGAGTCACCTATCTTTTAGTAAGGACTTCTTTGGTAGAACTACACTGATTCAACCAAAATCAAATGGGATGCAATAAATAATGTAACAATACATAAGTTACAAAAATACAAGTATGCACTCCCAAAGGAATGTTGACCATCCTTATGTCAAGAAAATTCCGAGCTGCCGATACTTCAGAAATTAAGCACCCCCTCGGAGGAATTTTATAAAATTGCTCCGATGAGGTGCTTAATTTCGGAAGAATACGGTATCTCTTATATAAATAACATTAAAAATTGAGTCTTATGAGTAAAATTTCATTCTGAAAACTTTATTGAGGTCGGAAGTTAGTTATCATGCGTTTTTTTTAGGATATTGTAATTTATCGCAATAGCGATGTATCGCTACCCTTGATCGACCAATTAGAATGCAAGATCAGGTGTAACGTGAAATCGAAGCAAAACATTGTCTTTTTTCTGTAACTCAAGATTTTGCATATGAAACCACATCTTACGTTCTAATTAAAAAAATTCCTTGCAAAATTTTAGATTAAATTTTTAGATTAAAAACTTTCTTTCTAAAATCACATCTAACTCTAGTCTAATGCTAATCCTAACCTTAAATTAACGCATTTGTATTATTATTTTGTTTTGTTACACAAGATACTGCGATTTTATTGGATTCGGATATGGTCGGAAGTGATCTTCAGCCCGGGATTTCCTTGATATAAAGGTATCCGTTTTTATAAGAGTGGAATACCGTTCCTAATAGTTATAACCAACTAATCGATGTCACAATGACTTGCATAGTTACTAATTACAAGATCAAAGTACAATACAACTAGTTGATTAGTCAACTAATTAATTAACTAATCAGTTAATTAACTAATATTTTTTTTTTTTTTTTTTTTTTTTTTTTTAAGGTGACCTCTTGGGTCTTTTGACTTTATTTAAAAATGGTAAATGTGGTTTAGTGAACCATTACAGAAAGAGTATACAATTGGTTACATGTGTAACTTTTCTATATTATTTATTTAAGAAGTTTACCTGAAGTTCCTCACCAATTGTCATACCTAACACCCTTGCTTGGATTTTTATTTTAAACCCTCTGAACCTATTTTTATAATTGATCTAAGTATCACTATGGCAGAACCAACACTTGCAGTTAGGATTTAACCATTAAATCATTATATTTTTGTAGAGTTCACTTAGATTCTAGTATCTACTTCAAAGCATAATCCTAATACTTTAGTATATTCTTGTCTTTTTATCTATTTTTTTTATCAAACTTCCAATTTAGATAGTCTATATAGATTATAACCAATTTATCAATATATCAGATCAGCTTGATATTTTTCTTTTGATTCATTTTAGTAGCTTGGTTAATAATATTTTTAAGTCTCTTAATTTAAAGATTCTTATTTGTTTAGCTACTATTATTAGGTACTATGATCTTGATATCTGTTTCTTCAAACTAATTTTTACAGTAGGACTGTCAAAGATTCAGTTACTTCTCTATTCAGGGTTTTTCAAATAGACTTCTTGTTACTCAATTTCAACAGATTTATACAATCACAAGGACTTATTTAGTGTTTACAATACCTAATTGCTAGTTTGCATTTCTTTATATAATTATAGACCTTGTTCCAAAGGACAATGTCATATAACTGTTATACAAATGTTTTATAATCTGTCAGTCATGCTAGTGTGACTGCTATTATAAGTATTCTAACTTAATCATCAATAATAATTATCATAATATGAATATTATATAAGTGATTATTCAAATTTTTGCTATCAATAGAATTTAAACATTTAATCTACTATTTGGAAAGTTGACAATCTGACCACTTTACTAGGTTATTACACTCTATTAATTAACTAATTAATTAATTATTAATAATTAATTAGTTTAATAAAATTATTAATTAATTATTGTATCTAACATCTTTGCTTAAGTGTTTTATTTTAAATCTTCTTATTCTGCATTACTATATTAATTTTATTGAGTTATGTTTAGATCTTCATTTTAATCTTAGAACTAATTTATTGTTAAAATAAACCTTTTAGAACTTTTTATGTTTTTATTTATAGTTAACCTAATATTGTTATAATTAGAATTAATACTTGCAGTTAAATTTAACTATTAAATCATTATACTCTTGTAGAGTTTATACAATTTAGTATTTTTTTATAACTTTATCAGTATTTTGTCTATTTTTACAAGTCTTTTTATATTACTAATTCAATAAGCTTTGTATAATGTAATTTTATATCTAAATTAACTAATAGTCAAGTTAGTATATTTATTTTATTTAAGAGTTTTTGTTTATATAAATTATCTGTTTCAAATTTTTTTTTAGATTAAAATTTTTATAGATAGTATTATCAAATATTATACTATCTTTCTATTTAGAATGTTTAAACAAAGTTTTTTTATAGATTATATACTTTTTGAATTTATTTATATAATATTATATATTCTCAAAATTAGTCTTAGTACAATCAAAATTATAAAATTACAATTTCAAATATTATGTTCAAGTTATAACTATTTTTTCAAAATTCTACTATCAGTAAATTTGAACTTTGAACCTATTATTTAAAAAATAATAATTCAACTACTACAATAGAATTATACATATTACAAAAATAGATTTTCAAAAAGACCTTTTTCATCTTTATTAAAAAAATTATAATTTTTTATAAAAAAGAATAAATTTAATTTATGTATTTATATTTCATATAATTTTGTTTATATAAAAAAATATTAAAAAATTTTGTTTTTAAATAAAAGTAGATTAAAACAATTTTATTTTTAAATTTAATTTTAGGTTTTGTTTTCTTAAAATAATTTTATCTTTATATATAATTAGAATTATTATTTTCTTATTTTTGTATATTATAATATTTTGCTTTTTATAATATATATTTAATATTTTTATATTATTAATTCTTATTGATTTTTTTAAATTGCTTTGCTATATTTTGAATTCTTATATTATTTTTTAAACATTTGTATTTTATTTTAAAAATTTTACAATATTTTTAATATTTTTTTTTGCCTTAAGCAGTTATACTAGTACTTTATTAAGATTCTTGAAACTATATACATTTATAATTATATAGAATTTCCTAATACTCAAGTCTAGCATCACTCGGCCACCCTATTGGTATCTAAGTGCAACCTGCTGCACTATCTTAGTTAGAAATAAACTGCTTATCTAACTACTTAAAGCCATACCAGAAAGGTTTTCTCCTTTCTGTAACAAGTATATTAATTGTCTTCAAAGCTTTTTTCTTTATTCAATTCATTTTTTCTGCTTTCTTTTTCTTTTTTTTTCCTTTATTGTCTTATTCTTCTTTGCTCTTTTCTCTGGTCTTCTTTTAGTTTGAGCTTTTTTTTTCATTTTGTTCGTTATATTTACTTTCTTTTTTTATTTTTGTACTTTACTACATCAGACTCTTTATATTTGGTCATAGAATATGTTCTATACTGTTCTTGTTACTATATCTATGCATTTCTGTATTGCCTACTTATTTAGAATCTGACTGATCCTCTTTCCAACCTCATTCATTATTAGTCTTTTTATTAAAGCTGTTTTATTAGTAATTTTCACTGCTTCTGTTTTTCCAAATAATGCCTTATATAGTACTAAAGGTGTGATTCTAACTTTTTCATTTTCTTTAAAACTATTCTATGCTGCTGCTATTGCTACTTTTTAGATCCTCTTCCATAAGCTTTTTTGTCTAATGCAGCTTGCTAAGTATGCTTGAGTTTCCTTTTCACCTTTTTAACATACTTGGCAGTCAGTCATTGTATATATTTCTGGTCTTTTTTTATTTAATTCTTCTAGCATTAGCAGACTATCTATTATGCATTTAATCACTGTTGCTCTTCTTGTACTAAGTTTTCTTATTATGCAGTATACATCTTTTATTTTATTCATCTCTTCCTAAAAGCTTAACTAATTATATTAAGTGTTCTCAGTTTCTGGCTCTAATGCTCGAATTGGGTTTGTTTCTCTTCAATTAGCTCCAATTCTGGCATTTGTAACTATTTTGCAAAAAAGTCTTATTGGCATATCAACTTTTCTGTTTTCCTATTCTAAGCAGTACTCTATCTTGTCATACTTTATCTTTTCTGTAAATATTGTTCTCCTACATGTTATTTCTTTTTTTGCAAACATATTTGCTCTGTCATTCCATTTATTAGTATTAGGACTTTTAATCTTAATTAATTCTATTTTATTGTTCTTGCTTTTAAGTAGATCTACAATATTCATTATCTATATCAGATTTTTTTTTTTAAGACTTTGTTTATCTCCTGCTTCTTGAATTGCTCTGTTAATATGTCTTAGTACTGCAAGGCTGTCTGTATGCACTTTTATACACCTTCCCTCTGGTATAGTTAAAATTGCTAACCATATTGCTGCTAATTTTGCTATTGTTGCTAAGGACCAACCTTTGAGTTTCAGTGATATTTTTTTTTCTGGCCAGTTTTCTCTGTTAC